ACTGGCTCTATCACCGTTACCGACTATTAATCAGAAGAGGGATCATGTACGCTTTTCACAATCTACCCTTTTGTTTATTTTCCGTGATAAGTTTCACCCTTTATTGCTATTCATATTACACTCACACTTATCGGCTTGAGCCGGACAGAAAAAACCTTATGTACGTGCAGTAAGATATGAAATAAACGTTGCACTTTACGCTTCCGTTCGCCAAACGCGCGCCTTTTCCGCTCTTATTACGATATCGTGTCAATAAGTTTGGTGAATCCTTTACGCTAAATATCTATTTAAAATTTTAATATGATAGTTGAAATTAATTGTGCGCATGGTGGTAAGCGACACGCCTACCCATAGTAATTGCAGTGCCACTCAGAGCTTTAAATGACAAAGCTGAGGGCACTGCCACTGCGCCCACTACCCTGAGACATAAGTTGACAAGTCCCATGCGCCTGTAATTTCATCAGCATCCTTATCCTTCAAAAACGGAAGGCATTAATGCTCACATTATTGCTTGGCGGCAGAAATAGGTAAGATGGTAGAACTTCCCTGGAAGAGTTCTTTCACAAAGTGCTCTACTGCTACTGATCAAGCAAAATGTGAAATAAGTCCCGGAAGTATCCTATACTATAGTTCCTTTGATAGTACTCTCACAGAAAGGCATTGCATAGCAGCTTCTCTGGTGTTGCAATTGTCCATCCAATTGGGTGACGATGACCACCTCCCATAAAATGGCTTACTTTTTTTTATGATACTTTAGTGACGGGACGAACAATTTGTGAGCCTTGTGGTAAGCGAAACGCCTGTCCTTAACAGTTGCAGTGGCACTCGGAGCTTTGACACATTCACAGTCCCCTTGTAAAGACCGAAATCAATCCCAAAAACTACCCAATTCACAAGTTTAAACAATCAGGGCTTTGGTTTACAAGTCAAACCAAAATATTTGACATTGAAGTAGTATATAGTTGCGACTCCATAAGTCTACATGGACTTATGGTTGAAACCTATTTGCGACTCCAGGTGGAGTCATGGACTGTGAACGACCCGTCACCTCGAGACATAAGTGCCTCCATGGCCGAACGGTTACCATGCCGTGCTGCCACGCAGAGATCCCAGGTTCGATTCCCGGACCGGGAGAAATATTTGTATGGCCTACATTTATTTCTCTCGTGAGTTTGGGTGTAATTTGTGGTTGTCTATGTGTGTGTCCATGGCTATGTTGAGTGTGTGCGCGTGCGTTGTGTTTTAAGTTGACAGGTCCCATGTGCCTGTAATTTCACGAGCACCCGTACCCAGCAAAACCGGAAGGCAGTAACGCGCGACGCGATGCTTGGCGGCAGAAATAGGTAAGGTGGTAGAACTTCCCTGGACGAGTTCTTTCACAAGGAGCTATCCTGCTGCTATAGCTATATCGTCTGATTGATTGTCTCCTACTCTACATTTCATGAAAATCAAGCCTGTAAATGCTACTGATCTCCCTCCGTCGGTAGTCTCTTTTCAAACTTCAAAGAAGCTCTACTGCTACCAAGCCACTATCGACTAAATAACTTTCGACTATCTTAGCATATTCAAACTTGAAGTCAACATTTTAAATATCAGTTTAGTCCCCATTACAACCTTGTTTATTAGACGTACCTGCGTATTTAAAGCAAGCATAAATATTTAGTGTTTCCTGCGTCCGGGCGTAAACTTTAAGGTGCTTTGTTCTAATGAATGTATTCTTTATTTTTGGGTAATTTAAAAACATTCAATCTGTTTTCGATCGGCATTCATCGTACGTTAATATATTAACATAATTCAAATATCTCTCGACCTATATATGTAGAAATAAAGTCTTAAATGGAGTTACAAATTTTGCAATTAAGATTTTTAAATTTCGGTCTCCAACACAGAAGCTGTAGAGTTCCTTGTGCAAGAGTTCGTCCAGGGAAGTACTGCCACCTTACCTATTTCTGCCGCCAAGCAGTAATGTGAGCATCACTGCGTTCCGATTTTGAAGAATAAGGGTGCTGGTGAAATTACTGGCACATGGGGCTTGTCAACTGTCCTAGGGTGACGGGCGTAGTGGCAGTGCCCCTCAGATCTTTGCGATCCTTGGACAACTGTGTCGCTTAACACCAGACGCACGACTTATTCGTCCCGTCCCTGGGTATCATACAAAAAGACTCGACGGTAAAATTATAAAGCATGATAATGTGTCCAAATCTTATAACCATATCATTGGTGTTAGTTCAAAACTTTAGTCAAATTACCAACTGAACTAAATTTGCACTTATAATTATGCAGGTCACTATTTGCTACTGACCCTATATTTATTATAATCATCATCATTAACCCATTTATATGTCCCACAGCTGGGCAGGGGTCTCCTCTCAGGCGAGGGTTTAGTTAGGGTGGGTTTAGTTTTCCTTCACCGAAAAGTGTATGGTAAATTTCAAATTAAATTTTGCGCATAAATTCAGAGAAACTCAGAGGTTCCAGACCAAATTCTGACCCACGCCTTCTGCTTGATAGGTTTTAGGGTACCACGACTACACTCTCTCTATATTACTAGACTCCTTTGGGAACCTTCCTTGAAACTATAATAACTTCTATGCGTAGGTGTGTTACAGACGTCATATTGATACCTCAAAAAAAACATTAGGCCAATTTTATTCACGCATCCATACATCCATATTTATTTACAGAACAAGACCAAAAATTATGGGCGTAGCGTTCATAGGAGGTATCGATATGGGTTTATGTACAATGAGTATTATAAATATTCAACAAACTGAAGTGCTCCCTATTTCATCATTGGAAACAAACACGAAGATAAAAGTATTGATCCGTTCGCCATAATACCAACTTACACGTGCTGGCGAGTTAGGAAATGTTTGCTCTATGGAAAAAATACGTTTCCTAGCTACAGAATTGACTGAAACGTTTCTAGGAATAAATTAATTGGCACAATATCATCGTGATTGGTGTAAACTTTGATTATTTCCGCCAACCCTTGTGGGAGATTAGGTGTGTGATGATATTATTATGTGCTTTGAGGGGCACCGTCACTTTGAGACATAAGTTGACAAGTCCATGTGCCTGTAATTTCACCAACACCCTTCGAAACTAGAATGCAGTAATGCTCACATTACTGCTTGGCGTCAAAAATGGGTAAAGGCTTTCACAAAGAGCTTTACTGCTACGAAGTTTCTAGTCGTCGGCTAAATTTGAAAACCTCGTAACTCCGTTTTTGGATTAAATTAATTTTTTGCTGTACAAGCGCAACAACGTCCAATGGAGGCC